TTCCATGGGGTTAGTAATTTGTGGTCAACTATTATGTTATCGCCATTTTTATATCTGCCACCTTTACACACGCCATTAACTCCTCAGCATCTTTATGTGTCACAGTGACCGGGCTCGATTCTTAATCATTTTACGAAGTATGGCTAGTCAACAATTTTCAAAACAGCTTACTCTTTATTAATGGTAAACAATTAAACAGGTCTGAAACATAAAGAAACAGTAACAGAAGTTTCAAGGAAAAATTTGTCTATTTTTGATTAAATAAAACTGCATAATGAGGAGCTTTATAACGTGCATTCATCTCAAAGTATAATTAGAATGAACAAGTCAAGGAGGATGAGGTGGGCAGGGCATGTAGCACAAATGGGGGAGAAGAGGAATGCGTATAGGATATTGGTGAGAAAGCCAGATGGAAAGAGACCACTGGGAAGACTAAGGTGTAGGTGAGTGGACATTAAACTGTATCTTAGAGAGATAGGATGGAATGGTATGTATTGGACTGATCTGGCTCAGGATAGGGACCGGTAGAGGGCTCTTGTGAACACGGTATGAACCTTCAGGTTCCATAAAACGCTGGGAAATTCTTGAGTAGTTGCACAATTGGCGGCTTCTCAAAAGGCTCAGCTCCATGAGAGAGTGAGTGAGTGAGTTTGTACTTAAATGTTTCCATATCTGTCGCGACGAATCTGCGCGCTCGGTATAATATGCTTCGCAATCTTTATATATATAAATGGTTTTTGAGACGTAAAATTTCGAATACGTCAGTTCCGCTTTAATTATATTTCTCGTTAACTTACAGCATATACTTGAGATGCACTCTGGTGGCTGCAGCTGAAACTATAACTACCATCTCAATTCACGTACTTCCTCCAACTCCCATCTAGCGGTAGAATTTGCTATACGCGTAGTGCTGTAACAAATAGATTCAACAGGCTCCAAATTATTGAATTTTTACATTCTCATAGTGTGATACTATGAACAGCACATCCTGCAGTCTGTTATAAGTTTCCTACTTTTTAAAATAACATATTGCCTTCATCTCCAGATGCTGCTTACGTGGCTTACTCTTAGACCGTGAAGCTAGAGGCATCTCATTCCCTCGAAATGTCTGCTAATTTCTACTGGACTATACAGAATCACATCCCAGAACTAGTACTTTATACTCGGAATAATATTTGTTTCTCTTATTGTCTTATTTCCAGGCATCGAAGTAGCCACATATAATCTTTCTCTTATGTTCCATTACGATATATTTGCAGGATGAAGTCATATCTGAAGTATAATTATTTCACATGTTCAGTTATGTGAGGAAATTGGAAAGGTTTCTGATTAACGGTGATAGATGACAGCAGGTTTCATTACACTTCTCACTGAATTGCCAAATTTTACAGGGATTTTATAGAGTACTAAGACTTTGCATTACATTTCAGTTTGGTTAAATGTAAGGCTGAAAAATAAATTTAAATAAAGGGACATGGCGGGGGTACGTTTTGCATATGGAAGAGATTTTATGGAACCCTAAGGTTCATTACCATGTTCATAAAAGCCCTCCACCGGTCCCTACCCTGAGCCAGATCAATCCAATCCATACCATCCCATCCTATCTCTCTGAGATCCATTTTAATATTGTCTACCCACCTATGCCTTGGTCTTCCCAGTGGTCTCCTTCCATATGGCTTTCCCACCAATATCCTATATCCATTTCTCCTCCCCATTCATGTTACATGCCCTGCCCATCTTATCCTTCTTGACTTGATCATTTTAATTATACTTGGAGAAGCGTAAAACTTATGAAGCTCCTCATTATGCAGTTTTCTCCAACCTCCTGTCAGTTCATCCTTCTTCGGTCCAAATATTCTCCTCAACACTCTGTTCTCAAACATCCTCAGTTTCTGATCCTCCCATAATACCAGAGACCAAGTTTCACATCCATACAGAACCGCTTTGTTACATTACTCAGAGCTTAAAGTTGTGTCAACTGTACACTTGCACTCTTAATCTATCCGATATCTGTATTTCAGATATCATGAAATTATTATAGATATCTTAGTGCATCAACACTAAAATTCCATGTTAGGGACTGCAGGGTCTGTTGATTTCTTTTATTTAGGAAGTATATTTTTATGTAAATTGCCCTTTTAGTTATTTCTGTTACTTTATCATTTACAAAACATAATTCAACTGTCCTCTGCCTTGCTGGCTCCAGGATACTGAAATGAAATGGTTTATCAAAAGTATAAACAATTCTGGTATTGTCATTCCATTAGAAAACGAAAGCCAATGAAAAGGTGATGAAACAAGGTGTAGAATGAAACTGAATAATCTGATAGTAATGCAAACCAAGAAGTTAAGAGTGGCAATAATTACAATGATGGGGACAAAGGGGTAGGGGAGGAGAAATAATCAATTTTTTATCACATTTAAGTAAGAAAAAAGTAAACATACATAATATTCCAGGAGCTTAAATAAAGAATTGTACATCTTCCATGCAGTCCTACAACATTAAACCTAATAGCTATCTTTGTAAGAGGCCATGGAGGTCCATAGGGTTGTGCGACATTAAAGCTCCCAAATTATCTAGACAGACAGCTCACAGATGGCGGTAAGGTTGTCAGCCCTACATGCTGGCCACCCTTTATCCCCAGGAAGATTCCTGGTAGTCATTTCTGTTGGAGGCTGAGTCAATCCAAGGACCAAAGTGTGGCTGGAAGGATTAGGTCAATTGTAAAAAGAAAATCCACCTCATCAGGTCTCCAACGTGTGACCTTCCAGCTTGCAGCGTATTGCTTCAATCAACAATGCTACTGTATACCCCCCTACAACACTAAACTGTGATGATATTTGTTTATTCATTTTTTCTTTACTACAGTAGAGATGCAAGTTTAAATCAGTGTCAGGGACCCTTGCATTTATGATTTGAAGTTCTATATTTTCTGCTTATTAGAGGAAATATTTTTAACACCCCCTCTATTATTTAAGATGAGTTTGTTTTGCCACATGCAATTATAGCCCATTATGTCTATTTATGTTATATTATAAGATAATACACCCAAACTGATCTTTCTGTGTGCAGGCTACTAAAATTTTGATCAAACAAGAAACAGAAATTAAAAAATTTAACCACAAATTGTTAAGATACACATGTACAGTTATTGTGTTTTTAGACATCATCCATCATCCTCTTTCTTATTTACAACACAACGTTTCAGAGACTAGACTCTGTCTCCTTCCTCAGGTAAACCAATCATCAGTGAGGGTTTATTCTCACTGATGGTTTATGTTGTGGTTGGTTTGTATATCCTATCTTGTGTTTGTACTGGTGTCTAGAGACAGAGATTAGCTCTATCAGTTTGGCCCAACTGATTAGATTTTACCTGAAGATAGAGACAAAATCCTGTTTATGAAACATTGTGTTTTTAAAATAAAAACAGAACAATAGGCAATGTTTAGAAACATAATTATTGTATTAATATACCTTTGTCAACATTTTTAGATCCAATTTACATGTAGTTTTTGTAATGCAGAACGACATGGCATTGAAACAAAGTCACAAAACAGGAACGTAGTGTGAGGAAAGAACAAGAGCTCTTCACAATAGCTTTATTGTAAATCTCTCATCTTTGTCTTTAATCTTTGATGTGTTTTATCGTGTTACATAATTCAAAGAAAAATAATTCATGATACTCGATACACTAACAGTCTTATAAACAGTATTACGCACTTGAGCACCTGGCCTCAACAGTGAAATACTAGTTTGTAAGAACACATCAGAACACTTGATCCATTTTGGAACATAATTTAATCATCTGAAGTCTGTATATTTTAATATATCATATTTGACCTAGTCCAGTTTATTTTGTTTGGATGTCAAAACTGTTAAGCTTCTTCCAGGACCGGACTGGCACATGTTCTTACTGGGTGACAAGCTGTGTGTGTGATGAAGACCTCCATTTGTGTGAACAGTTAGCAGAACCACCAGGACCCATTCCAGCATATTGTTTTCTGATTTAAAACTGTAAGGATGGTTAAACTGACTGTGTACTGCACCTGAATGTGTTCTTGAATGTTAGCATCACACAGACAAGAGTGAACATCCTGTTAGTCACAGATCAAATTCCGTAGCTTCATGAAAGCAGCATTTATCTAATGAATACATATTATTATTAATTATATACTATATTTTTGTACATATGTGTGTGGGAAACTTATAAAAAAGAAAATTAAAGCATGGAACATGGAAAGATACACATATTACATGTCATAACAAATTACTTCTCATTTGGAACACATGGTTTTGAAATGTGGAGCTTTGCAACAAGGAATAAAACCAGATTTCAACTACTGGTGGAATGTAATAAAGATTCCTGAAGGTGGGTCTCAACATGACTGAAAATGAAGGGAAGATATTAGAGAGGAAGTAGGAAAGGGCTATGTTCAATCCACTTCAGTTGAAATTAATCAGTTAACAAACCTCTGATTAATTGTATCCATTTCACAAGTGTCATGTGTATTATCTTCACCCTCAGTCTATTTGTTAATTATTCATCATTAAAGAAAATAGCACAGCTGTCAATAGTAGAAAGAGTGCCTACTTAGTGGAACATATTAAATAAACTTAACCTTTATCATCGGGTTACAAATATTTCAGAAACATACCCCTATTTTATGCAGATAACGGACATTTTCACAAGCAAGCACTCCAATGACAATACAAAACCACTGTCACAAACTTTCAGGCACAACAGTTAAAGAGATGAACACATTTGAAGAATTCCGTCTTCTGGGATGTGGTGCCATGTAGATATTGTGTAAACTGACATTTTGGAGGAACGTATCTCCTTTGTCTGCAGGGTATAAAAAATCCGCGAGTGATGAACGAGCATGAGCAGGTGGAAATGGAGGCTATCTATTCCTCCGAAACGTCGGTTTACACAATGTCAACATGGCGCCACATTCCAGAAGACGGCATTCTTCATAGTCACCGCCATGAAAACCTCAAATCTTACATAGATGAACATATTTATTTATTTATTTGTGAAGTGAAATAAATTCAATTGAGAAAGTAGATGGAAAGATCAGTAGAATAGTAAGAAATATTTCTGCTTTCTAATAAATTACACAAATAATATTATGGAGCGAGAGATCCAAAAAAAGGAGAAGAAACAGCACTCTATAAAGCACATTTTAAAATAATTCAGGCATTTAAGGCCAAAAAATGAACCAAGAGAAGCAATAAACAAAATTCAAGTAAACAATATGAAATTTTTTAGAAATACTGAAGGAAAATAAAGAAGGAATTGAATTAAAACTATGTTTTTGGAAACCAAATTGGAATCCAAAACTAATTAATACAATTAGAAGTGATGATTGTAATAGTTTGGTCATGTGCAAAGAATAGACAGAACAAGGGTACTGGGGAAGGCATTAAAAATAAATTTTGAAGGAAGGAAAAGATATTGAATTATCTATAACAAATGGCTGAATCAGGTATTAGAAGGTGTCAAGAATAAAAGAAAGATTGCACAAATTAGCAAGTAGGAAATACTGTGTTCAGAGAGAAGAGCATGGATCTGCACAAAACAGAAACATCGCTAGACAAATAAGGTGCATTTTTAGAACCAGATCTGCTACGATGCCATATATTTCAAGTTGTCAGTATTCGTGTACTCCTCAGCAGTATCTTCTGTCAACATATAGGCTTATCATGGTACAAATACAATGCATATTTACATTAACAGGTTACACAACATTTAGCCAGTTTTTAGGCTTTAACATTTTGTGTGTCACAGTACACAAGGCACAGTGCCACATTTTTTAATTACAGCATACGCAGGAAATGTGATCTTGTTTCGGTTTGAATCTAAGACCCATGGATTAACATTGAATCTTGATTCTGAATAAATTACAGATGAGAGCGGTGGGAATAGGTCACATTTCAATGTGAAAAGAAGGCAATAATTTTGTTACCTTATTTTCTTTTCCTTCTACTTGGCACTCACTTCGCTGACAAGCGGCAGTCGCTAGGTCAATATAGTTCGTTTGCGGACTCAAGCCACGTAGTTTTTTTTTTGTCTTTTCCTTCTACATGTTTTATCTTATTATTTCCTTCCCCTTCTACAATTCCATATTCTACTACTCCTCTTCCTTGGCCTTTTTCTTATTGTCATCATTCCTATCTTCCTTATCATATCTGCTTTTCTCAGGTTTGTTGCTTTCTTTACTAATCTATTCGCGATAGCTCAGTCGGTAGCCTATGCTCATTAGGTTGCAGGAGTCGGGGTTTGATTCCCGACAAGGGGAAGATGTTATTCTCATTTTCACAGCTTCCATACCGGCTCTCACACTCACTCAATCTTCTATGCAGTGGAATTTGTTATTTTCCCAGCGGTAAAGCAATCACAGTGTAACGCTGACCACTCACCTTCATCAAATGTCGAGGTTAATAATGCATGGAGCTATATGGCCACTTTCCCATACGCCTTCATGACGCGGTACTTAATTAAGCACAAGGAAAAGCTTACCTTCTCCTATATTATTCTGTTACTTTTCAATATATTTTGCAGCATAACTGCGTGTTCACGTCTGAACATCCTCAAATGTGTCAGACTAACCAACTGAGGCAAGCATGCCTCAGACTTTCAAAGTGTATTGATCTGAAAACATGGGTATATGATTCCTATAATGAATATTGCTTGTTCTTGCATTTTCAGACGTAGCTTTCCTCATTCTGTCTGCGTCCTTCTTCCTCCTCCACTGTTCTCACCGTGGCACTGTGCGCCAAATGAGATTTACTTCTCAACAAAATGCAATTAGCGTTCTTATTCTCGTTGCTGTCCCCGCAGTGAGTCGACTGTGTTCTCCTAAATCTGCTGTTTTCCTGAAGTGCTATCCTCACGGATCTCCTCCAGAAGGAGTCTTGTAGACCACTGGAGCAGTTAGTGGTTGTGGTTGAGGAAGTCATATTGAAGGTTCCTTTCCGGTCGAGGTACAAATCTTGACGAGTATTGTTCCTGAGTCCACAGAGCCGCATGAAACCGTCACGGAATTTGGAGGACATGAGGTTGTAGAGAATAGGGTTGATGGCGGAATTTATATAGATCATGACTCTGCAGAAGTAGAGTAGGTTGTAGTAGGTCTCAATGTCGAGAGAGAATACGGCTTCTTGCGGTGCCACGATGATCCAAAGGGTAAGGGCTCGGAAGGGCATCAGGCACACGAAGAAGGACAGAACCACGGTACCTAGCATCAGTACTACTTGCTTTCGGTACCGGATTGCGCTGTGTTGGGTCCCGGAGTTGTGACTCCAGTTCCTGCAAAACAACACACGTCTCAGTAGATTACAAAATCAACAGGACTCAGTGTTTTGATTACAGTAAATGGCTGTTTATTTAAGGACTGGCTGCTGTTTCGTGACATCAGAGACTGTGGAAATGTGTAAAGTGTTACAAGCAGGAATAATTTTTAAAGCAGAACAATTCTGTGAACAAGCGAGAAAATCTTTTGCACAGTACGCATCAAAATTACAATAAATAAATAAATAAATATATTAGGTATATCTTTTTGTCTAAACATTTTCAAATCTTATGTTATAATACGTGGCACTGTCTTCGGGGTAGCACAATCGGTATAGTGACTGCCTACGGGTTGGAGGAAGGATGAGTCGTAGTTCGAGTCCCGGTAGGGTCAGAATTTTCTCTTCTGCGTATCCTCCAGATCTGCTCTGGGGCCCAGCCAGCCTCCTATCCAATGGATACAGGGGGCCTTTTCCCCGGGGGTAAAGCGGCAGTGGCGTGAAGCTGACCGCTCACCTCCAGCTAATGCCGAGGTCAGGAAAATGTGGATCTGTACATCCACTCCTCCATATTCCTTCATGGAGTAGCGCTCAATAAGTTAAGAATAGGGATAACTTTACCTTTTCATGTGGCACTGTCTTAGGGGCTTTTTCACCGTCTACGTGCAACGTTGTTCACATAATTGCTTCTTCTTTGACTACAGTTCATAATGATATATTTCAGCGTCATGCTGCACTGTATAGTTGTGGTTCAGCAGTTTTGCGCTGAGTGCAACTTTGCACTCAGACGGCGCAAACACTCGTAACTCCTAAGACCTATACAGTGGAACAGGACGCTGAAAAATAATATTATGTGACATTGTGTTCTTTGCTGATGAAAGCAAAGTTAATATAGCTCCTTTATCATGAAAATTGTATTAATATAGACAGAATTTTTAATAAAATGCTTAAAATAATTTAAATGTCCAACAGCAGCAGGCATTTAAATAAAATCCGTCCAGGTCACACTACAGTCATTTAAATAGTCCGACATTTGAAGTTTAACAATATTATATACGTAATACTACAGCATAACAAAGTTTCGAATTGCTAAGAATCTGTCTGGTCATCCAAATTGTTGCTGAATTATTTCTATCCAATACTGACATATTTTGGGGGTTTCATGGATGTGAGAATATAGACTGTGGCCGCCGTGGGTTTTTATAGCTTGTAGTCCTGTAGGATGTCTCCATCTTCAGGTTCCTCTGAAACGTTGGATTATATGCTGTCACGACTCAAAGGTCACAATATATCTATCTGGTGTATCTTCCTACATAATTAAATAAAGAACTAGCCTTAAACTTCCTCCTCCTCCTCCTCCTCCTCCTCCTCCTACTACTACTACTACTACTACGAAGGAGAGTCAGTAAATAGGTCACTAACTGAAGTAAAACAGCTGTAATGGACATAGTAATTTCCTATGTATATCACTAGATAGCAGCACAGTCCAGATGCATGACGATCTAGGTAGCACACGCGCATGCGCATGTTCAGAAGCTTGTTTCAGTTGTCGAAATGGCGACCGTGCCTGAGGAGTTCAATACCGAAGATCAGAGTTTGTTTGCATTGTTTTGTAGGCAAAATGACTCAATGTAGAGGATATACATAAATAAATGTTTCATGTGTTCAGTGGGAAGTGTTTGTTGCGTACAGCGGATAATAAATTTTCTCAAGGACGTTAGAAAGTCGCAGATGATGCGCGACACTGTTGAGATTGCGACAGAAGCGACTGTGCAGCGGATGGAAGACTTGACTCCAGTTGACAGGAGGATAACGACAGGCAGTGTATCAACTGCACTAGGGCGTTGCCATGGATTAACATACAGCATATTGCATGATCGTTTGAAGTTTTGAAAAGTGTACGTACGGTGGGTGCCCATAGAACTGAAAGATCTAGAAAAAAATTAAACGAGTGGGTCTGTCCTTGCAACATCTCTTATGGAATGCAGACGAAGGAGAAGATATGCTTAACAGGATTGTTACTGGGGACGAGTCATGGATGCATCACTACCAGTCTGAATCAAAACGCACTTCAGTGCAATGGAAACATCCCAGTTCATTTTCAATCAAAAAAGTTTAAGGTTACAGTATCAGCTGCGAAGGTTATGTTTACCGTGTTTTGGGATTCTCAGGGAGTGCTGTTAGCCAATTTTCAGAAGCGCGGCGAAAATGTGAATTCGGCATCGTACTGTGAAATTCTATTGCAGTTTTGTGATGCAATCCGCAGAAAACATGTAGGCCAACTGGCAAAAGGGACACTGCTTCATCATGACAATGCCAGACCCCACACAGCCCGAGCAAACCAGGAGAGAATTCAAGAACTGAAGTGGGAACTCCTTGAACATCCGCCTTACAGCCAGGACTTCGCGCCTAGTGACTTCCATATGCTTGGTCCGCTAGAAAAGCACCTTGGTGGCGAACGTTTCTCTGATGACGAAAAGGCTGAAACAGAGGTGCATATATGGCTGAGACAACAGTCAAAAGACTTCAGCGCTGCGGGTTTCGACGCACCGATAAAGCTATGGGGCAAGTGTATCAATGGTGGTGCAGAATATGTCGAGAAAGAAATGTTCTTTCCCGGTTACACTATCACATGTTTTACGTTATATACCCATTTTTGACCTATTTACTGACACTTCCTCGTACTACTACTACTACTACTACTACTACTACTCTACTACTATTACTACTACTACTACTACTACTTCTACTTCTAATAATAATAATAATTTAGAGTGCTTGTCATCAGCGAGCATCCTATAACACTCGAGCCCTATAAATTCGTAAAAAATGAAAAAGTGAAAAAAGCAAGAGAACAAGTTAATGGTAACAACAAATTAAATCATATCAAGAAAGTACAGTGTCTCGAAGGGACATTTAATACTGGTCAAAATAATAAATAGTAATAAGTAATAATCCAGAACAGACTGTTGCGGGGAATATTCGGAGCGAAGAGAGATGAAGTGACAGGATGTTGAAGAAAACTGCTTAATGAGGAGCTTCATAACTTGTACTCTTCTCCAAGTATAATTAGAGTGATCAAGTCAAAGAGGATGAGGTTGGCAGGGCATGTAGCACGAATGGAAGGGAAGAGGAATGCATATAGGATATTGGTGGGAAAGCCAGAGGGAAAGAGACCACTGGGAAGACGAAGAAGTAGGTGGGTGAACAGAATCGAAATGGATCTTAGAGAGATAGGATGAGATGGTATGGATTTGATTGATCTGGCTCAGGATAGGGACCGGTGGAGGGCTCTTGTGAACACGGAAAAAAAAACCCTTCGTGTTCCAGAAAATGCTGGGAAGCTCTTGAGCAGCTGCACAATTGGCAGTTTCTGAAGAAGGGCTCAGCTCCATCAGTGAACAGCAACAACAACCTGACGCAAAGCTTCATCAACGGGACTTCCGGCCATACATTTTCAAAGTGTTTAAAAGCTTTAGAATTTGAATGACATCCTTGTCTCCTCGCGTTCTCGTTACGCGCGAGCAATTCACGTGACCTGTCTCGTTACAGAGTAAGTTCTCTCACCTGCAGGGTGGCGCTATGATGCCTGGGTGTGCCATGAGGTGGCGGGCGATGATGGTATACAGCGCCACTAGAATGACGAGCGGCAAAGCGAAGAAGAGAGCAATGCTCATGATGAAAAACAGGGCTGTCCAGAAGGTGTCGGCCTGAGTGAGGCAGACGGCCACTCTGGTTCCGTCCACATACAGCTCGTGGTGGTAGTCGGCCACCCCGAGGATTGGGCTGAAATGGAAACACGGCTCAGCCTTGTAGACTGACAGAACAATAAAACACTGTTTCTGCGCAGTCGGCACTGGATCAACTAGCGAAATATTATCGCGTGTCAGATGCGTCGAGTTTATTACAGCACAAAGCCAGCTGAAGTTTCAACGGGGGAAATACTGCAGTTGTAAACCCCATTATTGAATTTGGAACATACAGTTTACTCAGAAAATAAATTCTGTGGACGTTTAACAATTTCTGTTTACTGAAACAGAATTCGACCGCCTCTGTGGTAAAGTGGTCAGAGTACCTGGCTACAGATCCAGAGGTCCCGGGTTTGATTCCCGCCCAAACCAGATTTTCTGAGAAGTAGTGGGTCTGGAACGGGGTCCACTCGGCCTCGTGAGGATAATTGGGGAGCCATTTCAAGGAAATAGCGGTTCCGGTCTAGAAAACCGAAATTAATGGTCGTGGGGACCCGTTGCGCTGAACACGTGACACCCCCTATCCGTTAAAGTTGGCACTAACTTCGCTGACAAGCGGCGGTCACTCGGCCGGTATAGTTCGCTTGTGGACTACAGACCATGGAGTTTATTTTTCAAACAGAATTCGTCAAAGCATCTAAATCCAATAACTTGAGACGTTCTTACGAGGGAAGGTAAAGTTATCCTTGTGCTTATATAATTAAGCACCAAGCCATGAAGATGTATGGGGGAGTTGATGTATAGATCCATGTATTCGTGAACTCGGTACTAATTGGAGGTGAGTGGTCAACTTCGCGCTCTAGCAGCTTTACCCTTGGGAAATATCCCCCGGTGCCCGTTAGGTAGGAGGCTGAGTGGGCCCCAGAGTTGGTTTAGACGACGCGGAGAGAAGGAAAATCTTATATCTGCCGAGACTCGAACGTCGACACCTTCGTTCGTCCTACCCGTATCCAGTCTCTATACCGGCTGCGCTTGTAGCTACGTTTACAGTAAGATACTTAACTTAACAGAATAAAAATATACACTCATCAATGCTGCTATCTGGAGGGACAAAGGTGAACACTGTAATACGGATTATTATCACTGCTGTTTTTCGCCAGTTGATTGAGGCACTATGCTACAAGCCGGAATGTCGTGAGTTCAATTTCCGATTAGATTACTGGATTTTTTCTGTTGACTTAATCCGTCCAGCCGCACTATGACCCTGGGGTCGACTCAGCCTCAAACAGGAATGAGTACCAGGAATATTCCTTGAGGTAAAAGGCGGTCGGCGTGTAAGGCTAACCTCACCGCTATCTGTGAATCGAATGTCTAGAAAATGTGGGAACCTCGACGTCTCACAGCCCTACGGACCTCCACGGCCTGTTACAAGATAGTTTTACCTTAAGTGCTATGAACTATGAGTGCTACTTAATTAACGACAGAAGAGCAAGTGTCAGTATTCACACATATAATTTGTAGTTTTGCTGTTTTTATACACATGTAGTTTTTGAAAATTTGTTATTTGAGACATACGTAGGAACAGCAGGTAAGGATTGCGTGGTCAAAACGAGAAATTTAGTCTGAAGCTGAAAACGCGTGTAGGGGAGTATGTGTTGGGGGGGGGGGGGTATTTCAGAGAGATATTTTTAATGTGCGAATCGTGTGATATGAATAGGAGAAACAATAGATGCACACAAAATTTGAATCAAGAAACCTTAAGGAAGAAACAGCTTTTACTAAATTTCAACACCTACTCATCAGATCTGTTTCATGTCACATTAATTTTTCTATTTTAAGGGATTCTTACCTTAGTTACCGGTATGCCAAGCATTCTGAAGCTCATATCTTTCAGTTACCATTCTGACAAAAAGCGTAAGAAGAAAACGTCATTACAAAGTTTCCTTAAATTACGATTAAAATGAAGGAAAACATAAATGCAGAGACTGACCCCCATTCCAAGGAGGCCTACCGACTGTCTATGAGTCATAATTCCAGAAAGAATTCTGAACGGGAAATAGGCCGGGAAGCCTAATTCGACAAGATAAAAGGCCAATAAATTAATAATTACTGATAATAAACAATATTATATTTAAGCATCCTGTTACACTCTACAAAGTGCATGACACAAACTCCGTCTTATTGCAACAATTTATTGTAGTTCTTTTGTCTTCTCTTCTTCTACACTACATGTTTCGGCCCTAAATGGCCATCATCAGGTGTATACTGTCACGTAGCTGTTACACTGCACGTAGTTTAAAATTTAAAAACACCAGCTTTCTTAAGAAAGCTACGTGAGAGAAATACACCTGATGATGGCCATTTAGGGCCGAAACATGTAGTGTAGAAGAAGAGAAGACAAAAGAACTACAATAAATATTTGCAATAAGACGGAGTTTGTGTCATACACTGATAATAAAAACTAGAAATTTTTAAGTTCCGGAAAAAATGCAAACAATTTAAATTAACCGAAAGTTTTGGAATAGCCCTCAACTCGATGCTTAATTTATGTATATGTAATTAGTTACTCGAAATGTAGGCCTGTTTTTAAAATCACATATAGGGTTTCCTTGAACTCCAGTTATTATAAAGTAATTTTAACTGTATTTATTTTCATTATTATCTTCGTTTCAAAACTGAAAAAAAGAACATAAAATACAAATCCATCTGATTCCAATTAGTAGAAATACACTCTCACGACCACAACATCGAAACCACTAATTCGATTAATTGCAAGCAATCGAACTGTGTTGTGGCATATGTCTCGCTAATCAGCATTACTTCAATACTACTATATTGTGTATGGTTATATAATAATAACAATCACGCTTATGATTAAAATATTTATCACAGAGTACACAGTTAATACAATTTGCTTAAAAAACCCTGAAAAAAACATGAGGGATATGATTCAAAACACAGAAGAAGGAAAATGCAGATTTCCTATAATTTAAATGTATAATTTTCTAAAACACCTCCATTTTTATTTGCGATTCTGCAGCTACTGCAGATCAAAACCTCTTCTTCCAACGTGATCAACAGCTGGGAAACCACAACATAATCTGTTACGCTCTCTGTCGTTCACAAAGCCAATACAGAACACATATAAAGTGTCCGGGTGAAAGGTATCCAAAATAAAATAATTACATCTCAGAAAGCACATTTATGGGTTAAGCCATTACAAAGGGAAACTATCAAAGTTTTTGCTGAATTTATAACCTTCTCAATAAATTTCAATGTGGGCTTCCTTGGTGGCACGACAAATATCCAGACGATCCAGCATGTTTGGTGTTACCATAGTCACAGCGTCCCTTATGCGGGCTTTCAGGTGGTGAAGGTCGTTGATCTTGACCTGGTAGACAATGTTCTTCTTATAACCCCACAAGAAAAAATTCACTGGGGTTAAATCTGGCGATCTAGGAGGCCAAGCAAGTGATCCACATCTGCCGATCTATCTCCCAGCCATCACTCTGTCCGAGTTATTCCTAACATGGCGGCAGAAATATGGAGGCGCATGCGCGTCAGCCGAGCATGGAAAAAAAAAAACTTACAGGGGTTTCGTTTCCAATGACATAAACCGGATACGTGTACAATGTATGTATGAAACTTACTGTATGACAATAAGTTTCCGAGATATACATTTTTTATTTTGGATACCTTTCATCCTGAAACCTGATATTACACTTCATAGTTGGGTGGATAAAATGAAGGCTGATACATTCTATCTTATGAAGCGTTACGCACTAGGTACTGACGTTTCGGAGGACTATATTTTTTAAATCTTCAGAACGAAAATTCGGTACACTTCTACCATGCTTCATAGTCTAACACTGCAGACGACATTATGCAGCGAGTACCTCAAATCCAACAAAATGAGGAATGTTTAACGATTCTGTATCGGGTACAGAGGTCGCTTAGCATGATGGGCATAAAGATGACTTAGGAGAAATTTTCAAAACTGTATCATTTCGTTGACCTGGGAACAATGATAAAACCAATGCAAATCAACACTCACATTGCTTTCTCTTAAACAGTCGCCATTTTGAGGCATGACGTCATATTTTCTCCCAGACATTAATACGGCTAGCACGGCGTGGCCAAATAAGACGTTTTCAGTTACAATTTCATATTCTGTAAGCAGTTCTATTTTGTGTAAGATTTGAGGCTTTCACGGCGGTGACTATGAAGAAAGCAGTCTTCTGGGCTTTGGCGCCGTGTATATGTGGTGTTAACCGACGTTTCGGAGGAACGTATCGCCCCCATCTTCAGGGTTGAAGAAAAAGTATAGGTAAATCTGCAAGCGACAACACCGTGAGACACGGTAACGCAGTCTGCGTTACCCTACAGGGACTTGAACTCTGATCCCTCGATCGTCGAGCCCGTGGAGAGTCGCTGTACCGGCTACGATATCCCTAAGAATTGCCTTATTACAAAACCTAAATACATATAATGTAAGCTATCATGTATAGGGGAGAGTCCTGCAGTATCGGCCACTTGAAGTTTTTTAACTGTAATTCTTAAAGAGTTGGGTTATATCAGGTTATGATACAGTAATTTGTTACTTTAAAACATGTTTTATGAATGTGTGTAAATGATTTTTCGTAACATTTTTTGTTAATGCTTATTGCATAAATCATTATGGAAGTTGATTTCATAGGTGTCAAAAAATCGTTTTCCAGTACCGGCCAGTAACCATTTTGAAATATTTTGAAGTCTTAATGATTATTGACAGTTAGATTTATTTAAAAAACAATAAAATACAAACATAATGAAACTTTGTACTGAAATTAAAGCCTGTCAAGCCAAAAGTTCAATTCTTTTTTGCACAATAGTCACAAGTAAAATACAAAATACTCTCTTGATCCACGCACTCAACATGCGCCCAACCTTTACATTTCAAACACTGCACCCAGTCCTCATCAAATGATTCCAAACAGATAATGCACTTTGCATTCTCCTGTTCTTCCAAAGCGAATGCCAATTGCAAAAATTCCTTCTTACTGAGGGGCATGAATTTGCTGTCCAGTTCTTTCATGTATGAAACTAATTGATTTTCCA